TCACCCCCATAAATCGCATCTAGAGGCTTCGGCTAAAGACAGGTGAGTTGGGTCGGGGAAATTTATACTTTACATGGGTTTTCAACTTGTAATGGTTCTTTATGATTAAATAAATAAATGACACCAACCTGATTGCGGGATTAAAAAAAAAAAAAAATAAGTATATCAATTTTTTTTTTCTTAGAATTAAATTTTCAATATATTAGACACAACTTTATTTTCAAATAATTGTTATATATATAATGTATAAATACTTTCATAACAGTAATATATTTATTTTTATTATTAACCTTTAATGGTAATTAAGATTTATTGTTAAAAAAGAAATTGATATTCTATTATTTCTTTTGTTATGCTATCTTTAATGTAGCTTTTCATATTAGCTGTCTAAGTTTTTTTAAAAACTCTATATTAATTTTCACTTCATCCTGCTGTTCACATCACAAAAGAGTGCCTTCAAGCATAACTTTTCCTTGTATTGCAGTCATTGGCAATGGTGTTACCTTGTCTTCAGAATTATTTTCAGATAGCAAAGAATTAGAATGGTGAAGACTTCCTCTACAATTTCCACATCAGACATGGTTTCATAACTTGCAACAGCAGAATTTATTTCAAGAAACTGCTCTGTAGACATTTAAATCTCAGGATTAATATCAAGCTAATTAATTAGGTGTGTAATATCTATATAAATGTTACTTTCAATATTAATATTTGGTAACAATAATAGTAATTCTGCATTCATAATTTCAATATGCTTCCAGCAATTGTAGATTATCTCTAGAGTAATTTGATTCCATGAGTCTACAAGAAAGTAAATTGCATCTTTAATAGAAACCTTTGCCATTTTAATTTTGCCATTATATTGGTCAATCAAATATGATAGGTGGAAGTAACGATATTAAGCTTTGCATGTGACAATAATGTCAGCATCTAACGGTTATAAATAAGATATTATATTGGATAAAAAATATTTGACTGTCATATTGCTAAGATTATGGTCTTTACCATGATATGAGACATTGTTAATTAAGAAAAGAATTTGTTTATTTTGATTTACCATTTGAGTATTCAAAGTCTTGAGCCATTTATTAAAGATTTCACTAGTTATCCAGGTTTTTGCATTTGATTGATATGTTATGGGTAAGTTATTCATATTTAGGAATCTAAATGCTATAGGCTAGGCAGCCTTACCAATGATAAGGGATTTAATCTTATGTGAGCCTGTCAAATTACATACAAAAAGGATGGTAATTTGTTCTTTATTTTTTTTTGTTTCAGAAGTTTAAGTAGTAGAAAGAGTATAGTTCAAAAGTAAATGATAAAATATATCAGTTTTATTGGTATTATACATATCATCTGGACCATATTGCGAAATAATATCTTGAAGTATTGAACGTACTTCAGGTAAGTTAGCTAATGAAGCACTATTGAATTCTCTATAAAGAATATAAGATCTGATTCCATACTTCTTTTTGAAGGCTTTGAGCCATTCCTTACTTGCTTTAAAATCTTTTTCATTATCAAAGTTCATAGCAAATGTTAATGCTTTGTTTTGAAGTATCACTTTATTAAGAATTAACCATTTTCTATTGTAGCAGTTACCCAAAGACTAAGTGTTTCATTTGTTTTATGGTATTTTTCAGCACATATTTTTTCTCTTTGCTCTGCATCACTGAATGTGTCTTCCTTTAGCCATTTTTCCTTGTTTGCTAAAATCTTGGTTATTGTAGAACAACTGTTTTCAATTTTGAAAATAGTAGTCAATTTTTTATGCTTAATATTAGGATGCTTATTATGATACTGGCAGATTTTTTTTTCAATTTAATAGTAATCAGATATTTGATTTCTTTAGGCATTGTAATGGTGTAATGGCAAGTCAGTCACTAACTCTAGCAGAGATTCGTGACAATAAATAAAAGGATAATTTTAGACATATTTGTACTTGACAGAGTTTTTATTAATTTTTCACTTCTATGTTGCATCTCTTTCTTTACATTTTATATTCTTTTATACTTTATATTTGATTATAGTGGCTTAAACATAATAATAATTAATAATACAGTGACATGGCTAAAGCTAAATTACATAATTCTTTTCACAATCCTTTTCATTTTTCCTTTATTACCTAATTATTACAGCCAACTTACCATTGTCACATCAATCAGTTATGTGACTAATGTTACATCACATTTTACCAAAAAGTTCTTTGTTTCATCTGTGGCTTATTACAAACTTATTTCCTTTTTCTGGTTCATTTCCCACTTCAATCTGGCCACTGATAACCTTGGGCACTATGGCTCTATTGTCTGTAATTGTCATTTTTTCACATAAATTTGGGCTGTCATAAGCAACTGATATCTCGTTACAGATTAATTCTTGATTTCTGATTATTGCATCAATCTCTTGGACAGCTTTATCAACCTTTTCTACATGGTCAACTTCTCTTTGCAGCTCAGAACATATCTTCTCATCAAGACTCTCTTCCACCTTGTCATTTGTTAATACATCTTTTGGTCGGTTTGTCGCCTTCTCTTGATGATACTCCTTCCCTAAGTTTTACATTAACCTGTTATCTTCTGGTTTGCTTGCCAACTCCCTCACTTCATCATTTCTCTTGTCCAGCATTTTGGTACTTTTGGTTATCTGGGTTCTGTCATAAATGGATTTCATGACATTATCCCTTTAATTGTCTTTGGCTATTTAAACTTTATTTTTATCAGAGCATTCTTCCAGGATTTCACTTGGGTGGCCGATTATTGTTTCTTCGAGGTCTTCATCTACCTCCTCTTGTTTGGTAATCATCTTGTCATTGATATGTTCTTTTATTGTCTTCCATGCATTATTACTGGGCAGTGTCATCGGTTCTTGTTGCACCTTCATTAGGTCAGGTCACTCTTCTCAAACTGTTACATAGGTGTCTGTAAATAAAAGGAAAGTAGAAATTAGAAATTCGAGTAATAAAAAGGGTTTTAATAATAAATAATTTGTTTTTCATAATATAGGGATTGGAAAAGTATCAAAAAAGTGTCAAAAAAGTATTTGCAAGAAAATATCGAGAGGGGTAATTAGACGTCATCTTTGTATGAATCTCATAGTCACCACCAAAAATGTAATGGTGTAATGGCAAGTCAGTCGCTAACTCTAGCAGAGATTCATATAACTATTACTAAATAAATGAATGAAAGGGTGATTTGAGATATGTTTATATTTAACTGAGTCTTTATCTATTTTCTTACTTCTATATTGCATCTCTCTCTTTATATTTTACATTTATTCTTTTATACTTTACATTTGTCTATGGCAATTTAGATATAATAATAATTAATGATACAGCAACATGGCTAAAGCTAAATTATATAATTCTTTTTACAATTCTTTCTGTTCTTCCTTTATTACCTAATTATCATAGCTGACTTATCATTGTTATTCAATTAGTCATGTGATTAACATTGTTTCTATTTCTTCCTGTTACAGCATATCAGAAAAAAAGAAAAGAACATAAGATTTTTATATGCTTTAATTTAAATTAAACTGGTATATATTAAGTATTAAACTAAAGACATATAATAATAATAAAGAAAACAGGTATTTTATCTAATATCGGATGGCCCACAACATATGTACAGTGTGTAACAAAACTTTTTGGAATTTTTTATTTATTCATTACTCAAAAACTACTGCATAGAAATTAATAAAAA